CCCCAAAACCCCAAAACCCCAAAACCCCAAAACCCCACAGCAGCTATAAACCCCTGAAACCTACTAAGATGTTAAAAACAATTATTTATCAGCCTAGTCCTCTACCGGGGATATCAAAATCCATAAATTTATTGCAGTCAACACTATACCAGCTACAAGGCCGTACAAGGAAAGTAGCAGGGCCAGGCTCAGGCTTAGCTTACTGTTGTTCACCTGGTGCTTCCGCATTATGATGAAATAAAACAGCCCAGGAATAGTGAAGTTCAAGAAAGAAAATGAAATTGACCCTACAAAGCTAAGGACTACTTCAACATCTTTGATTATGTATGCAGCGAATACTAATCAAGCATAGAAGAATATAGTGACTGAATAATAAACTAGGTTTCTGAGAAAGTCAGACCCAGTTTCAAAGTTAATTTCTTGGTCAGCTAATGGGCCTGTGATAGTTACTTCTTCTCTTTCTTTCTTAGAGAAAGGCAATGCCATCGATACACTTTTATCAACTCCATTAGAAATTAGTTGATCAAAAGCTCCCATCTTCCTCTGTCAAGTTGTAGCATTCGAGAATGTATTAGATTCACCTTCGTCATCAAAGGAAAAGAACAGTGCTTGTCTATCACTTGTTCTGTTTTGGACATTTATCTCTCCTTGGTTTTCATCAATAATGACGCTACTATTAATCTCCTTCTGAGTCTCTCCTCTGATCGAAAATAAAGCTATTATTGCCAACAAAGATTCCTTGCCAATCATGAACACAAAAGGAAGATGGTTGATTACCACAAACAGAAATAAAATACGAATGACGTATGGTTCCCATGACTTCACATTGCCAATATTCACCAAAACATTTCCTTGAATCTGATTTCCAAAGCTGTATAGGGACACGAAGATCATGAGGATATACACAATAAGTCAGAATCCCATGCCGTAGGATACAAACTTGATTCCTTGCTGGTAGTTTTTCTCCCTTAAACTGTTGAAAATAGGAAAGAAACTTGTCTGGAATTCATAGGCTACAAATGGAGTTGAGAGTGAACTCCAAAATTCTTTTCCAAGTGTAAACTTGTATAACTCTTTTGGATCAATTTCTATGTCTTTTTCCTTAATTTCTCGGCCATACATGACAGAAACAAACATGAGAATGATAAATAATATTACAGAAGAGAATAGAAGAATCCCAGATACTTTCAAGCTAAATTATTTTCTTTCTCAAAATGAGTGGAAACATTATTATTGAAGCCACAAGCATGCTGAACCATCGGCCTCCAATAGTGTCGTTACCGTCTGTTTTTACCCACTCAATTTCGCAGAGTAATGAGCATAGCAATTTTTGAAAGATTATTAAGTATGCGATAGGCAAGAATCCTTTCGAAATTATTTGCATGAAGTTTATTAGATATAAAGCGAATCTGCCCCATACTTCAAATCCAATCCTAGAGATCGAATTTCAATGAGTTACTTCTGCTCATTTAATGTAAAGATGGATCGAGTAGATTCAAGCAACTCAATTGAATCAGTTGTAAATCAAAGCAAATGGAATACCGGTGTGAAATGCTGAGAACGGTAAGGAGATCATTCCTGCTCCTAAGGTTACACTTATAATAGAAAATGTAGCCACCGGAGTCGATATCTTAGGTACTTCTCTCACATAGCTTCGTCAAGAACCTCCTGTTTCAGTGTTATCGTTCATTTATATGAGTTTAGCTATAAAAATATAATAATTTTGTAATAAAAAAATACCACAATTTTGACTATAACCACCGGGGTTTTGGGGTTTTGGGGTTTTGGGGTTTTGGGG